TATGGTAAAAGATTATTTATAAATCAGGACGTACCTAAAATAATTATATACATATCAACGAACAAGTTCTTGTGTCTTATTTATAAACAAATTTTGTGGGATTTCCAATTATTTATAAATAAGGGAAAAATGGCATAAATTCGGTCTAAATAATAAATTTACAAACGGCGCCCCATAAAAAACAGCCTTACCTCGGATGCTAAGAGAGTTATCAATGTTTTCTCGCATTCTTGCTCATGAAATATTTTTCTGTTTTCACCTAGTAAAAAGATATTGGTAATGCAAAATGTTAAAATATCTAAAACCACAGCGAAGACATGACTATAAACAATGTTTTAATACTCTGTAAGTACTCAGAATTACACTCACACACAAACATCCTTACCGTTTTTAGCTGCCAGGGCAATCGCTTTGGCCTGAAAGAGGAGAGCGAAAATAGAAATGAATGAAATATATCGTGCAACCTCGACATTGCAAATGGTTGTAAGGGTAGCCAACTTTTCTTTGTACACACAAAAATGTTGCAATAGAAAAAATCGCATCAAAAATATGGCATAACATTTACCCGTCATTTTAGTTTGTAGAGATCTTACCGCATGTTGTTGGACCTCTGCAATATTAGACTCGGCAGCAAATGCAAGAAGTTTCTGTAATCCCCCAGATGTTTGTATAAGCTGTGAGCATAAACAATAAACTATAATTACATCAATGCTTGTTTAGCGTTCCTTGGTAGAAAATTTCTGTCCTCATTTGATCGTCATTGGGTCTTTTTTATCATTAGCGCGGATGGTAATGTTAAAATATGCCACAATGAAAACTTTCTTACTCTACATCTTTGTCAGCGTATTACAGTTTTAACAGGTACTTGCCTGTATAAGAGGGCGTGAAATACCGCTCAGCTTGTGCGTTTGGGATCATAACCGGAAAGCACTCACACTTTTACAGAACCCTTTTAGGAATAACACATGCAGCCCAAGATCAAGCAAAAATAAACTATTTATAGGCTTAACAATACCTGCATGCTCTCCACATCCTGCAGACAATTAGACAAGACCTGCAAGGCTTGCACATGTAAATCTTCATATTCCTATACATAAAAGGAATCAGTCCATAAATAGGTGAGTAAGAACAAAACCGGAATACTGCAATTTGTTAACTTTGATTATCCAATCACCTGTGATGGAATAACATCCCATTATGCATACATTAGCTGGATGTCTGACAATCATGAATTTCATCAAAACTTATCACGATAATCCTCTGTGTTATATACATGTGTATAAAAGTCTCATAAGTGTGTAACTGCTATAAAAGGTAACTTTTATTACCTTGTTTCCAACAAAATCAACAAGTTTTTCAAGCCCCTCCAATTCACGCAAAGCTCCTCGATTGTCGGCTGTTAGGTTTGAAAGGTAAACATCTTCATTAGTAAATTACGAGGTCCCATGAATGCTAGAAGTGCTATGTTCATTACATGTATTAATAATGCTCATTTCTAGATATTACAATAAAAACTTTTATTGATTCAGAAGTATCGGCTTAAAATTTTCAAACTATTTTCAGCGCCGTCATTAAGTTTTAATTCACGTGTAGCCTTGATCTTCACACATAAGACAATCTTGCTACTTTCTGGGTGAATTATATCAATAACAGGCAAGTTCATCCATATCATCAAAGGCCCATCAAACATACTCAACCGTAGCAGGCGTTACGGGTTAGGGCCCTTATTGTCAGTCCTGATTATTTCATTTGTTTCAGAAGGTGACAATGAATACAAGACAATAAAAAATTAAAATGAAACTGGTTTCGATCAGTTTAATTGGCAGTACAACCAAAATTAAAAATAAATGGCAATTAATTAATTTTGCAATCTTTTCATTATCAAAACGAAAGATCTATTATCTAAGTGACTGACTTCTACAGGTGCAGATCCATACCGGTTTTCATTGTTTTACAGAATTCAGTCAGATTTTTCAGAATGAATCAGAAAGTTTAAATCCAAAACATTTCCTGGGAGAGTATGGCCCCAGACCCCTCTAGAAGCTTGCTCTTTCAGCACTTATTGATCCAGAAATCAATCTCTACTTTTCCTAGATCCCTGTCTGTTCTGAGTACAGTTTTACCATGGCTAGTGCAACAAACACAAGTTTCAATTGATAAACAATGTTAAAAATTAATCACGATTTGACATAATTTTATGTCCTTGACTTGTAATTCCTGATAAATATTGAGTTGACCATACTGGTAACAGCAGCTAAAGGTACATGTATTGTGTTGTATTGTAGGAAACATACATACAGCATTTATTAAAAAAAAAAACAGCACCATTAATAATAATTAACTATTAACTATTTTAATTACTTTTCTCAATTACCATCAAGAGTAATCTGTATCAAACTGTCCAATGTAAGTTGTTGAATAATAGCATACTCGGAATCTAATAATGCTAGAAGTGGCTGCAACCCTAAAGAAAAACCAAACAAGCATAATTTGTAGGGTTATAATTTATATGTTTGAATCAGGAGTTTTGATGAGTTTATCAAGGCTGAGGCAGAGATGCCAACCTACCGAAACTCAAATCTGAGAGATTGTCAATTTTGCTCAGAGGGTAATGTACCCTTTCTTATTGTCTAATGACAATGGGAGATGAAAAAAACTGGATCCTTATAATTCTGCAAATTACCCCAAAACTGCCCAAAATGGGCCAGAGGTTCTGAGGGGTACTATTTAATGTAGTTTCCACTCTATTTAGGACTAATTGGCTACATGTGTATATAGTGACACTTTCTATGAAAGGAAGGTCCTATGTATTTCTTTCCAGGTTGTAAAATTTGCCAGAAAACATAATCTTAACTTTTCATTTAAAAGAGAAAATTTGGCAACCTGGTGTTGGACCAGGATGCAGGGGAAGGTCCCAGATAACCTTGGGGATTTGGCAGGTACACAGTTTACTGAGGGTGTACATTGGCCCAACATCCCCAAGGGGTTATGGCTACGGGTGAAGTGAAGTACACCTGTATACATTAAAGAATTAACACAAACGAATTGACACATAAGCTGAGCAAGCCTGTCAACTCACCATTAAATTCTCTAATTGCTGATCTACTGTGATAATCCTGAACTAACAGAGAAATGGCTTCAACAGAGTTTTTCTGTGAAAAAGAACATACATGTCAGTCAGCTTACGGGAAATTTGGGAGACAGATTGTGCTATGAAGGTGACTATTTAAAACTTCAGTGAGTTTCAAGATAAATTATGTTACAGACTTTTAATTACTATTAGTAAATTACTTTTTTACAACTTTTGGATGAGACTAAAAAATTAAACATTAAATTTAAAAATGTTTCAGGCATTTGCAACCTACATCAGTTTACAGCATATGTAGTCAGATTTCTTAGCATTATTTCAGTACATCTGAGCTATAACAGCAGTCCAGTGGAGCTGCATGTAGTCTGACACTCTGTAGCATGAGCGACTTGATCAACGGTATGGAAGCATTCCCACCCCCTGCCCCCCCTGCCCCCTCCTAGATGGAAGGCTAGTCCATCACAGGTACATGTAACACCCCGGCCAGAATTTTGTCACGTTGAACTAAAAAGGTTCAGGTAGCCATTATACAGCTTCTAATTTGACAGTGTATCAAGCACTAGAAAAGCAAAGTGTATTGACCAATGTAAGAGTGCAACACTATAATAGCGCTTCAGTGAGGTCTCAAATTGAAATTACATGATGGTATGTGCAGTACTAGATTTTAAAGTCTTTGAATTAATTTATACCTGCACATCACAGTCAGTGGATGATAGAAGCTTTATAATGGGCTCAAGGCCTCCTTGTTCAAAGATCTCCACTTTGCAAGAAAACTCAGCTACGAGGAAAAAGAAAAAGAAAATTAAATTTTAGTACTTGTCTCTACCAGAAATACAGGTGCTAGAGATACAGTGTATGTATCATTTTATATTAATACTGAAATTTAATACATTGAGCATTACAAAATACAGTAATTAACAAATAAAGAAGCCTAAGCTGAGTATTACACTGTGATAAAACACGACGGGCATTTGAGAACACGAGGGAAATGTAGAAAACACGAGCCTCAGGCTCGTGTTTTCTACATTTCTAGAGTGTTCTCAAATGTCTGGAGTGTTTTGTCACAGTGTAATACACGGTTTAGGCTTCTTCATTTGCTTTATGATATAGACTGAGGTAAATGTGTTGAAAAACAATAAAACACGCCTTTTCTATGTTTTATACTCTAATAAAACACGGGTTTTTGACCAATCAGGATGCATGCAGGGTCCATCTATATCATAATATTTATTTAAAGCTACATGTATTGAGAAGATGAAAAAGATATGATTGGCTTGTCGGTATAAGCGAAAGTGATGTCATTTACATAACCAACTTACCTGCCATGGATGAAAGTGCTAAACTTGCAAATTCATGACACAAAACATCCTCTGAATAACAACAGCAACAAAACTTATTCAGTACTCAGGGATTGGCTTTTGTTATTACTTAAACAGTTATTCTTACTCAGGGGGTTCAAGTATCATTGCTGAAGACACTGCTTCAGAACTGAATAGATAAATAATTTACGGTGTAAATTTGACATTTCACAGCAAATTATTAAGCTAATTAGTTTCTCAAATCACATTTTGATCAGATTTCTATAGAAATGCATTTCATTTAGAGAAGTTTTCAATTGAGTCTTGTAAAACCAAAACCAAATCAATTACTTACCAATCAGACTGCTCAGCCAACCTAAAACTGAAGTTAAACCAAAACCAAAACCAAAACCAAAGTAATTGCCTGATCACTTTCGAAACTCAATTGAAAACCGCTCTAATGTTACACTTTAGAAATAACATTTATTTTATATTAATGAGTTATCATGTGGACGGGGCCTCAGTCGCAGTTGAACTCCACATAAAAAACTTACCATCAGGTCCTAGTAATGTGACTAGTGGCTGAATGCTGGACAGCTTTCGGAGTTCTTTTTTAACATTTGCTGAAAGTTATTTACAAAAATAACTTTAAAATATTTAATAGCTTGATCATAATAAATAAAGTTATTCTTTATCAGTTGTAACCCACTTATAGTATTCTACATTTGTAAGACAGTTATTGTATTTCACTTGTCCTCTATGTCATCCTCAAACATCTAATAATCTTCAAGGATTTTTGGGTGCTCCTCAATTATCACTCCTTAATACGAGATCCTTCATTAAAAAAAAATCTTTTGAATCAAAAGATATTTTTTAACAATACTATTTAAATCCCCTAAATTATATTTTGTATCCTTCAGGATATCGCAAGATCCTTTTAGAGATCCTTTATAAGATAGCTGGGACTGTACATACATGTAAGATCCCTCTTAAGTTTGCGAGATCTTCATCAATTAAAAGATCTTTATTTGACTTTTGGCAAGTCTTGAAAGTAAACACTTGATATTAAAAAGGTTATGGCTCGACTTATAAACTAACCATTCTGTGCCATGGTACCAAGACACATGGTGGCATTTCTTCTGACAACCTTATCTTCAGATAAAACCTGCTTTAAAAGAGGTTCCAGGGCTCCAAGATTCAACAGCTCCTGTCTGTTCTCATCACCTGCGGCACAAGAATTAAAGAATAACTATTGGCTGACAGAACTTCACAGTTCTAAGAAATAACTAGAGAAACTTCTACAGGCCAGTCATTTATTTTAAACACCAGCCCCAGGTGAGCTTTATGTGAGGCTGGAAAGGCCCTTGAAAGTGTCGAACAGCATTTACTAAATGCCACTATTTGACACTTTTAATGAGCCTTTTCAGCCTGACTCATTTAGTTTATTGTCATAGTGTCACACGTAATATGAGTTTTTTGCTCGTTTCAGATGAACTCTGCCTTGAAAAACAATGAAATTAACAATGTCATTTTCCAGTCTGCAAATAAAGTCTCAAATTATATACATGTAGCCTGTACGATAGCCTGAGGCTGGTGGATTTCCCTGCTGGGTCACTGAATGCTGTCATACATGCACCCGGTAGCTAGGAAATAAAACTTTAAATGGCACTTTTTAGCTACATGACAGTAGCCTATAAAGGGCAATTAGCTTTCAGCCTAGAACATATGAGGAAAAGTTGTTTTCTTTGCACCAAGCTTCCGATAATGAAGCATTCTCTCATCATCAAAAGTTAAATATTTTTAAAACACAGTGGAAATATACATGTAGCATTGTAAAACTATGCAGGTAGTACTTAAAATCTACAATATAGTCCCAGAACAACTTTTACTTAAGCCTGTGATGCCTAACTACAATTTTGCAAACTCACACTTCTCTGAGAACTTGTACAGTGCTTCACAAGCTGATTGAAGGACATGTTCTTCTGGAGAGTCTAACATCAACACAACTGTATGAGGCTTCTTGCTGACAAGTTCCAGTGGATCAAACTGTTCACAAAATGATTGTGCACACATGAAGTCATAATAATAATAACATTTAACAACAATAATTTTTCTAATAATTAAAAAATTATTATTATTATTGTTAAATGCTATTATTATTTTGACTTATTAATTTAATATGCAATAATAATCCAACCCGTTTAATATAATAATAATGATAATAATAATAATGATAAATAATAGTTATAATAATAATAATAACAACAATGCTCAATCAGTTTTTCAAGTGCTTAATTTTTTCCTAGATTTTTATTCAAATGTGTGGTACTTCAACTAAATACTAATATTTTGTAATTTCACAGTTAATGTTGCAGTTTCTAGAGAGTTACTGTACAGTTAGTATGTTCAAACACATGTTTGTAACAGACAAATGCAAAAACCATACAATAATAAATGGCTCCATGATCGCCGTAACAGGCAAACTTCCATTGCGTGATCAAACCCTAATTTATTTCCCCAGCAGTAAAACCCACACTACATCGGACAAGTCGGCAAAAGGGCAAACCCTAACTCTGAACAACACTACATGTACGAGCTGAAACCTCCAGCCAGCATCATGCCAGAGTGTAGACATTTGTGGCTTGCTCAAGCCTACTACATACTGTATATTCCCAGCACTACGAGCTGCCACCGCCGCCACATACTGGATTGAATTAGGCAAAACGAGAGCAATAGTGCCACTAAATAGCAAAAATCAAGGCTTGGGAAGTCGCTGCGAGACTACCTGAAAGTGTCATAGATCAGAGGTGAACCCAGTTTATTCAAATAATACCAGCAATATTAATAAAGCCTCCAAAGGAAGGAAGGGTGGGCGACAATATACAACACTAAATAATACTTATGTACAATAGCGGTAAAGCTAGCAAATGATGCTAAAGTTCAAGCTACATGACTGTAGAACTCTTTATAGCCAGACAGCTGTCTGGGTTTAGGCCAATGGTGAATTATGTACCATAGAAAGTAAAGATCTTATGCAGCTTTGAGCGAGACATGAATGGATATATTAAAAAAACATAGCCATACAAAATATATGATATATCGGTGTACTAGACAGTGTTGCAACATGTATTCATGAAAGGCTAGAACCTGGTTTTCACTAACGATGCAAGCCCAAGCACATGCAATAGGGATGACCCAAGTGAAAACAAAATTCAATGCAAACACAAGCAAAAAAACAAGCAAAATTGTCAGAACATTCCAAACTTTTTAGGCGCAAGGTAATCTGGATCCGGTGTTTTCAATGGCCAAACATACATGTATCCATGTGTGGTAAATATCCTTTTGCTTGTGTTATGCCTGAGTGGTTTTTCGTTTCCACTTGTTGCAGTGCAAACTCAAGCATAAGCACAAGAAAAGAAAAAGGAAAAATTTTAATCCTTGTGCTTGCACTTGTGCTTATGCCTGCGTCATAGCCATTTTCACAGTGAAATAAGAATTGTTGTGCTTGCGCGTGTGCTTGTGCTTGTGCTTGCGTTGCTAGTGGAAACCAGGCTTAAGTGTTCATTGTCTCTTCAAGACAAGAAAGACAAAAAAGAACCTGCAACGTTACATTAAACTACTGCACATACTTATAATGACAGTAACAACCCCGCAGGGGCCTAGAGCGTCACACTCCATTAACTGCGCTATAAAGACTTGCTTTAAAGTTTCATTTCACAAGTGCTTCAGTCTGTAACTCAATATTAAAAATTATGCAAAGAAGCTCAAAGAAATGAATGTTTCCTAGAGTACTAAAACATTCTTGAACACATACACATGTGTATCTCACCAATTATGCTTGAGAATAATCATAATTTTTTTTTTGTACTGTACACTGAAAACAACATTTGATCTAAATTATTTACAACTCACTTTATTTTTAAAAGTTTTTTAAAAGAAAGGGTCAAATTCTTTAGTACTTAAGTGCTAATTAGCTATCTTGCAGAGAATAATTTTATTCAGATTGCTTACTGGAAAACTGTCATGTAGAAATCTTTTTCAATCGAAAATAGTTTTGTCTGTTTTATTAACAATTTCATGTGCATGTAAACATTAGTAAATTACACAATATTAAGAATTATTAATTTGAAGCAATAAATTAATCTAGCTATTTATTACTTAAAAATACAAGTGTTGAGTGTATCAACAATAGCACAATAACCTAAAATAGGTTAATACTGATACACAGATGTTTTGAGGCCTTTTGAAACCTGCACAAGAGATCAGAGCTGGACAGAACACCACAAAGTTTTAACCGTTTTCAATTATACAAATTGAGCTTTTTCGGCTAAAATATTCGTAATATTCAGGGAATCGAAACAATCAAACCTTTAGACCTAGCAGAAGCCTAAACTGCGATTTAAAAAGAGCTCGTCTCTTAGGAAATCGCGGGAAAAGTTTCTATTAAAAAATACTTGCCCGGCATACGAACGGTTCTGGCAAGCTTACCTATGAATTCCTAAACAGAACCATTTTGTTTAGTCCTCAATTCAAGTACTCATAAGTAGATTAGGTAAAGTATTCAAAGCACTATCTTAATGGCCGATTGCGTTATCTCATCATGAATAAATGAATTCAAAAGGACGCGAAGGTTTCCCAGAACTTCAAAAAGTCAATTTCTTTCAGAGAAATCAATTAGTAGATTTTCGGTTGACTTTCATGCAAAATTACTGACCTCATCTTTTGCTGGAGTTTCTGGTTCTTTAGCTTTCTTTTTCCCCATAATTCTGGCAGTAGCTAGGCAGTTTTCAAAGCAAGTTAGTAGCTTTTTACTCTGGAAAAAAGAACTTCAAAATTTTACTACAAAAACACCGCCATTTTCCACCAAACTGAGGTTGCTATAGTAATCAGACACCTTCGGACTCAGTCTCCCACTTAAAATCATGGAAAAGAGGCTCGCCCCAAGCTTTTCGCGATCAAACTACAAACTGATTCATCATCATGAAAAATGGTGTACGTATCTGGAAGTAAGTGAAATTTTGAGAATCGAAAATTGCCCGACTATGAGTTGTATTCCAACATTTTGTCGTTTCAATCCGCAGGTAACGTGTTAGAAAACAGATCAATCTGGAGATTGTCCATATTCTCAGATGTCTTCTGGGGTATTATCAACTTCGTAATTTTATTGTAAGACACATTCATCAATACGCTTATTTGTGATGTTTTGTTGATTTCTCAACCTTTAATACACGTAGGTCTTCATCTTAAAGTTTCTGCTACCTGTAGCATTACTAACATTCTGCTTATCTTTTTCTTTCTTTATTTTTTAATATATCAACAGCTTCCATACCATGTTTTCGGTGAGTACAGTCAAGGGTCGTCAATGCCGATAGAAATTTAATTAATCGATGCTGTACGAACAAGTGAAAATCACAGTACCCCATTTGTCTTCATGTTATTGAGTTGGAATATTGTCTGAAGTTTTAAGCTTAAATTTCGTTTAAAAAAAAGGGAGACAAGTGCACTCTTTAATCGAACCAGAAATATGTTTGTTAACTTGCATGCAGTAGCTATAGGTTGCAAAGGATTTCTATTAAATCTTTATCTCTATACTCAAAGGAAATTTATCTTATCTTTGACCGAGTTAACTTTCAATTAGACTCAACAGGTACAAATATGCTGTGGATAAATTCTATTTGCTGAACAGAATTAAGAATTTTTTCAGTAGCACTTCATACATCATATAGGTCATAACAAGTGAAGCCTTTGAGCCGACTGACTCATAGCTGCCAGAGCTTATCCCAGTTTCTGTAGCATGAAGCGGCTAGGAGTATTTCTACTCCCCCTGGACGGGATGCTAGTCCATCGCAGGTCACTACCCCGCAATTTGTTAGGTTTCCCCAACAATTCGCCGGTACCCATTTATACTCCTGGGTGGAGAGAGGCACTGTAAGAGTTAAGTGTCTTGCCCAAGAACACAACACAGTGTCCCCAGCCAGGGCTCTAACCCGCACTGCTCGCTCCGAAGTCAAGCGCACTAACCATGAGGCCACTGTGCCTCCGCATATAGGTCATAAACTCGCCCCATATATGTCATCAAAGCCTATATCATACTTCTGTTAAGGTGGCTCAAAACAGTTTTCTGTAATTTTTAGACTTATAGACCCAGGTGCGATTTCTATCTCGATTTCTATGAGGTGATAGTTGATGAGGCCGAAGGCCGAATTAACTACCACCTCATAGAAATCTCGAGCTCATAATCTAATCGTTAAATAGTGTTTTCTTTTTCGCTGTTGTCATTAGCAGCGTAAGCAGTAGAAGAAGAGTACCATAAATACCCAAAGGTGATACTAGTTGAGTGAAAAGAACAAAGAAAACCTGAAGAGTAGGTTTTTTACTACTGCTGTTTTTTAAATTGATAGGCGGTGCGATCGATCACAACATCAACATCACAATTTTCATTTATGTTCCAGCACGGTGGTTTGAAAGAATGTTTTTCCTTTTAAATTGCCTGGGGGATGGGTGTTTTTGAAGGTAAAAATAACTGATACCGCAAACAGCTTACTAAACTCTGCCGAAACAAAGTTTTACAACGTAGGCCTTGCGCCACCATGTTTGTTTTGATTTTTGTAAACTTTAAATCTCGGGCACTATCTCATGACCCCTCGGGTGATCGCGTGATACCTCGTGCTGAAGTGCCACGCACTAGAGCCTCAGCGACTCATGGAAATATTATTGTTTTGAGCCACCTTAAACAAATCAGCCCTGCTTTGCAGTCAGTGCCATTTTGTTCATCAATTGCACGCTGGTGCAGACCAGATCAAAACTCTATATATCCTGAGCCCAATTACCATGATTATAAACTGTTGTTTACCTGTTTGTTTTCAGCCTGGATTAACAAAGTATGGTAACTCATATGCAAGTTCAGAATACCGGCCGGGAGGAGGGTAAGTTTGTTTCCAGATTTAGCAACTAAGTGTAAAGTGCTGATTAAGAGTGTCTCCCCAGTCTTCTGCATATCAAGCAGCAGTTAAAGTGTCCTCTTGCAGGATGGAGAATTGCTTACTCTCTTAGTTTTATGCAATCAGTGCTTCAAATAACATTTCTGTGATTAATTCATTTCAATTAGTGTTGCTTGATTTATTTAGTTACTTGAGGTTAATTTTAGTTTCATCTTATTTCAGCCCTCCAAGACCACCAGGTAGAAGATATGGAAGAATTGGAAGGGGAGGAGGTGGTAAGTGAGAATTATTATAAGTTTTTTTTTTTTCCCTGACCTACTTCTATCTAAATTGGTTCTTTTTCTGCAGAACTTGCCTTAGCTTTAAGGTTGAAAGAATATATTTTTATTTCCCCATATTTCTGGCAGTAGCTAGGCAGTTTTCAAAGCAAGTTAATAGCTTTTTACTTTGGAATCAAACAGTTACAGAGCACATGATAATCAAACTCTTTCAGTGCAAAAATTAGGGAGTCTGACACTTGACATGGAGGTGCAGTTGCCTCGTGGTTACTGCGCTTGTCTCTGGATCAAGCAGACCAGGTTAAATGAGCCAGGGGCATTGTGTTGTGTTTTGGGGGAAGACACTTTACTCTCACAGTGCCTCTCTCCACCTAGGTGTAGTATAAATGGGTACCGGCAAACTTAATGCTGGGGGTAACCCTGTGATGGACTAACGTCCCATCCAGGGGGGAGTAGAAATACTCCTATTTGCTTGATGGTGCAGAAACCGGGATAAGCTCTGGCCTTAGGGGCCACTTGGCTTGTATGCAGACTTAATCTACCTGACACTTGACCTTCTCAAAAGTGGAAAATGAAATGTGACTGGAATTCTGACCATTCTGTTTTTTACCACCTGTTTTGAGTCATGATTCATGTTGTTTATTGTTGTCAGGTGCACCTTACAACCCTGGACCTCCGATGGGTGGATGAGGAAGGTATCTATCAAGTAAATTTGATTATCATATTTCCTTGATTACCTGTCTGTCCACAGACATTTTCCCCAATGAGTTATTATTCTTCAAGTGCTTGAGCAAAGCAATCATGCGAGAGCAATCCCAAAGAGGAGGAAAAAAAAAAACATTTCATATTTCCGCATCCCTTTCCACCCCCTTGTGTTTTGGCTCGTTCATATCCACCGGTGGTTAATATTTTGCTTGCAATCTCAATTACCTCAAGAAAAAATAGAGGGTGTGTGGACAGTGTACTTGATTAAATGCTACTCCTCAAAATAAATATGCCTACTAATTTGAAGTAGAATCCTCCTTTCCCCCCTTCAAAGCATTCCAGCTGTAAGTGTCAGGCATCTTTGACCTCTCCTTTGCCTCGCAGAATAACTTGGTTTTGATTGGCTAAGCCATGGAAAACCAGCATAACATTGCTACCAGTGAATCAGAGTCAAACTTAGTTCTGTTTTTATTTTCGTTAATTTAGGTAGATGCTTGTCACACTAGTGTGCGCTGGTATTGGCAAGCAGAAAATGAAGACAGCAGAAGGATTCTGCACTCAGCTGCAGATGTGTGACGTCACCCAGGAAAAACTGTCACAGGAACCTGGATAGTGACTGATGCTTTCTCGCTGACTTTGCTGTAATTTTGTATAATTAACAGACTGTAGATATTAAAGTTACTCTTACTTCTTTCATTGTTTCAAGTGTTGAAAATTGTAGTGGGTACTTACTCACTGCCCATCATGCCACTGGGGTACAAAACACAAATATGGCAATAGTAAACCAATGAAAACAAGAATTCAGAGGCGCCAAGCCTGGAAACCCGCACGAAATGAAGTCGCAATTGGTTTTAATTTGCATTTGATTAGTTGTGTAGCTAGCGCGAAGTTTTTGAACTAATCATGTAGCGTATCAAAGCTCGGTAAAGAGGCAATCCCATCACAATCTTACGGTCTTGTTGATTCCGAGAACCGGTAGAAATCCCAAATCAGCCATAAACGTTAAAAGGAAGAGGAAAGCTAAATTAAATTTCAACCAGGGTCAGTAATGCCATCTCTCTACTCTAGCTTGAATTTCAGGCGTGTCGGCAGCAAACTGAGACGACCTTCCACCCCCCCCACCCCCCTCGACTCATCTGGCATCGTCTAGTAGATAGCTATGGGTTACAGGCAGGCCTGGGTTACAGGCTTGAGTTAGAGGGCTAGAGGGATCATTTTATTTACTCAACACTAGCACTATCTGGGCTATTTTTCTCTATAACTGAACGCAGTGTATTGATGACTTTAGTCTTTTATCACAAATATATGTTAGAAAAGGTAAAGGTGGAAAGAGCTCAGCAATTCTCAGCTTTTTCTTTGTTACCGAAAGAACCCAGTTAAATGGAGCGCATGCGTAGGAAGTCAAAAAATTGCAATTGAATGAAAATTTGCACTCTCGAAAATACGCATATTTCACGAGAACCACTCATTAGAATTTCACGAAATTTGGCACGCAAATACTTTAGGAAATAAGTAACTGGGGTATTGAAAATAATTGAACTTTAACAAAGGAAA